CAGCTCGCGACCTTAGCCAGCCAGGTTTTTGATGCATGTGCTAGGCGGCTGGGCTTGCCGCTGGCGTGGCACAAGCTACGTTTCCTGTCGAACTCCGCAGAGGTGCTGGAGAAGGCTAGGGCGGTGCTAGGCAAATGCGCTGGGGTATTGACGGATACGGCTGTCAACCTTGGGGTAGATGTCAGTTTGGGAGAGGGCGCTATGAGACGACGGCTCATTGACGAGGGGACGGGGAGGAAAGGTCTACGGCAACGACGGAAAAAGGTGGAAGGTGGCGTTACGACGAAGAGCAACAATCGACAACCTCAGGGGATGCGTTGGGATGAAAGAAAAAGGGAAGCTCTTCTTCTGTGGCCAGAAGCCCTCGTCATGGATGTGATGTGGTGAGTCTTCATCTTAGGGGCATCGAGCGTTTGAGGACCCTGGGGGCCAAGGCTCTGGGCATCTTTGTACCAGGGGCCCAAGTGGATCTTCGATGGGCACTGCGACCAGTGAAGGGCCCACTTTTCCATGCTAGTGAGGTTGTGACGAGATATGTTCGGGAATGGTGGACAGGCGCCGACCCACAATGGAGGGCAGAAGACAATCTCTGCCCCGAGACCCCCCGCCAAGCCTTCAGGGCGAGCCAAGAGCAGCTCCGCGCCGAGGGGGCCCGTGGCTGGAAGCGACGCGGCACCAACCCTGTGGCGGACATGCTGCTCTGGACCAGTGCGGTGGAGTGGGATTGGGCAACGCCTGCAGAATTTACTACCGCCAAGGGGACCAGTATTTCATGGGCAGTGACCCCACCAAAGATGGTAGATGGGATGTTTTTTTTTTCACGCGAATTACGAGACACCATGCTGAGGGCTACTATTACCAATGTCCTTGGGGAGGACCCTGATAATACCAGGGCCCGTGACATTGTGCAGAACGGCTGGCGGGCCACGCCCCCGAGGCAGTTTCAGAACTCATCAAACACAGCTTTGAAGACGAGGGGGTAATCAGGGGGATTTTCTGCAGAGGGTACACTACAGAGGCTACGCTGCACAAATGGGGATGCAAACTGGAGCCGACCTGCCCACATTGCGGGGCATTTGAAACTGTTCACCACCGCGTCTGGCATTGCCCTTTTGGCGAGCCAGGGAGGTCGGGCGGTGACCCTGAAGTGCTGGAGGCAGGAAGGGCGCCCAGCCCAGATGATCCCTTGTTCGCCCCTTGGCGGTGCGAAAAGCCGACTTTAACTGTTCTCCCCCCCGGAGGGAGCTCAATGCTATTATTTCGGAGCCGACGCAGACACCATCCCCCTTCATTTTCGAGGGAACTCACAATCTGTTCATCGACGGTTCTGTGATGTACCCCCAGGATCGAGTACGACGTTGCAAGGGGTGGGCGGGCGGTGGTGGAGGTTACTGCCATGGGTGAACTTATCAGGGGGATCAGGGGCCCTCTACCTCAGGAGCTCCCACAAACAGCAGTCATGGCAGAACACTTGGCCTCTCTACCACCAGTATAGGACATTTGCAAGGGCACGAGCGGACCAGCCTGTATGCAGACAGTGCGGCCTTGATCACGGGAGCCAACAGCATGGGTCCCAGCACGGGGCCCGCCAACAAGTTTGGAGGATTCTGGAGAATGATCCGGACTTGGACGGCAGCTGGAGGCTTCTCGTGGGAGATTTTCAAGGTGAAGGCCCATGCGATCGACGTCCAAGGACGAGCTGGTGAGAGCCACCAAGAACGCTGGCTAAGTGAGGGCAACCAATTAGCAGATGAGGCCGCGAAAAAGGCTGCAAGGGACTGTTCATATCTGACAGATTTCAATAATTATGTGTTTCTGTCCGAGCTGTGGTTCGGAGTGTGCGCTGTTTTTGTTTCTGTTTTAAACCTGTGGGCCCGCCCTAGGGACCTTTTTCGGGGCCCTCGAGAAGGTCCACAGGGCCCGCAGGGACCAGACGGATATCACCGCGTGTGACGATACTCACCAGCTCCTGTGGACTGGGAGTTGGTGGAGATGCTCCAGATGTGCCAGGGGATTCCAGACCTTGGCCAGGGCCAAGGTCACTGCCTGCGCCTCCCTTTCCCCTGCCCTCCTCGCCCTCCTTTCGCCCCCTCCCCCCCTTGCCGCCCCCACCGCCTCTTGGTCGCCAGGCAGTTGGCCGCGGGGATCCCGCACGTGTGGTGCAGTTGCTGTGGGCACTACACTGGTGGGACCCGAGCCCATGGGCTTCAAGAGTCAGGTCTTGCATTCATCAGGCAGCAACCTGGGCTGCTGCGGGGGAGGAAGTTGCCATGGCCCAGGGGGCCCGAAGGGCTGCTTTCCCCCAGCTGGCCAATCACGACCCCCGCCACAGAATGGTGGGGTCTGGTTGCCTGAATTCAAAACGCGGACGTGAGGATTTGATTGTTTTATTTTCTGACCCACAGGGTCAACTGTGCCCCTTCGATCATCGATTGTTGAGGGTGCGCTCGGGCCGAGAAAAGGACGGGGATGGGGGGGAGGAGGGGGGGAGGAGGAGGGGGAGGAGGAGGGAAAGGAGGAGGAGGAGGAGGAGGAGGAGGAGGAGGAGGATGAGGAGGAGGGAGGAGGAGGAGGAGGAGGGACGAGGAGGAGGAGGAGGACGAGGAGGAGGAGGAGGAGGAGGAAGAGGGGGAGGAGCAGGAGGAGCAGGAGGAGCAGGAGTAGGGGGAAGAGGAAGTCCACCTCGGCCGCGCGCGCGCAGTGACCAGATGACCTACCAGACCATGGCGCAGATCTTCATGGGTCTCGCGCAGGCGAGCGCGCGGGTGGGTCACTCGGGCTCGGCGGAGCAGTCGTGATGCTCGGAGAGTTTGCCCGGGAAAGGCGACGACGATGAAGCCGGTGGCGTTTGCCTCGGTAATCCGAGATGGCGCGGATAGAATCGCGCCTCGCGCATCGCGGCTTGGGTTGGAGTATGCTAGAGATACGCCCATCTCTAGGGCGGCGGCGGGGCGAGGGCGCGAAGGTAATCTCGCGTTGCGCATCGCGGGGCGCGATGTCGGCGACGATCACGACGAAACGGCGAACGACGACGGAATGGCGGCTGCTTGGACTTTGACGGTGACGACGAAGCGACGGCGATGGCGCGAGGAAAACAACACGGCACAGACATCGAAGCGCAGGAGGTCACGACAACAACTTGCATTGACCCTCGAACGCGCCGACAGGGTCGGTGGATGTTTTGTTTTTCTGCTCGAAATGCTTCTTCACCAGTGAGTAGCACGTCGATGGTTTTCCCATTGGGCCGTGTCACTGATGCCGTATTTCCTCCCCGGTTGTCTGTGCAGTTTTGCTGTCTCCCCTCTGGCCGCACGTAGGTCGGCGCCTGGGGGTGCTTCGACGAGTTCAACCGCATCTCAATCGAGGTTCCGGCGGTGCCCCTCGTGGCCGCTCGCCCTTTGCGAGAGGGGATAGCCCCTCCTGGAGGAGGCTTTCGTCGTCGTCGTCGTCGTCGTCTTTTCCTCCAGGGGTGGGTGCGGCGACGAAGGGCGGGGAGGAGGCGGGATCGGGGAGTGGAAAAGGCCAGAGGAGGCAGAGGGAGGAGGACGAGGACGAGGGAGGAGGACGAGGAGCGGGATGAAAGCGGGATGAGGAGGAGGAGGAGGAGGAGGAGGAGGAGGAGAAGGAGGAGGAGGAGGAGGCGGAGGCGGAGGAGGAGGCGGAGGAGGAGGAGGAGGAGGAGGAGGAGGAGGGAGGAGGAGGAGGAGGAGAGGAGGAAGAGGAGGAAGAGGAGGAAGAGGAGGAAGAGGAGGAAGAGGAGGAAGAGGAGGAAGAGAAGGACAAAGGAGCAGGAGGAGGAGCAGGGACATGGAGGATGAGGATGTTGATAAGGATACGGAGGATACGGAGGATACGGAGGATACGGAGGAGGAGGAGGAGGAGGAGGAGGAGGAGGAGGAGGAGGAGGAGGAGGAGGAGGAGGAGGAGGAGAGGAGAGGAGGAGAGGAGGAAGAGAGGAGGAGGAGGAGGAGGAGGAGGAGGAGGAGGAGGAGGAGGAGGGCGAGGCTGGCGAGGAGGGAGAAGGTGAGGCTCGGCAGCTCGAGAGGCTCGGGCAGGCCATCCGCACACGCCGGGGCCTTTGGTGCGAGCGCGCGTGTCGTGGTCCTCCGCCTGCCGCACGTGTTGCTCGTCGGGGTCGCTGGAGGTTTTAGGACCAGTCGAGGATCGAAGCTTTTCCCTGGTCCGAATCAGGGGGGGGGGATCGGGCGGGAAACGGCGGGGGCACGCCATCTCCTCCATGCAGCCGTTTTCGGCCCCGCCGCCGGGCGCCTCTCCTGGATGCACTGGCGCCGGGAGGCGCCGGGAGCGCCAGCTGCGAGAGCCGATTCCCTTGACCCCCTCTGCTACCCTCCCCCTTCTTCCGACCCGCTTCCGGATGTGTGTTGGAGCACCTTGGGCCTTCAGAGGCCTCTGCTGACCTCGCGGGGACCTCGTGGAGACTCCCGGGGAGCCTGCAGAGAGCTTGGCAGAAGTAGGCCCTCTGGGACTCGGTGCCCCACTCTGCTCTGATCGCCCGTGCTTTCATAGTCCAAGGTCCTCCCTTTCCACGTCCTCTCTCGGGGGCGGGCTGAAGCCCGATCGTCCCCGCCTCTTCCCACACTCCCTTCTGTTTGCCGACCTCTGCTTCGGAGTCTTCATCTGCTCGCCGCACAGCCAAGCATCGACTTGGGACGGACCCATGCCTGTGGCGGCGAAGCGACCGTGGCTGCACAGGAGGGATGCCCAGAAGTGGCACGCGCACCAGGGGGATCCACGCACGACGCCAGGCCAGACTGCCGATCCTGTAGAACACGTGGAGCCCGTCAGCGTGTCACTCCTCTGCTTCCGCCAGAAGGACCTGGTGCTTCAGCAGGGACGCCCCGATGGGCTCCCAGCGGCGGCGTGCTATTCATCCCGGTGCTGCTCCCCCACCTGCCGATGCCACTCCTCGCGGCGTCGCCGCCCGCGCGCGTCCAGGGGGTCGCCGTCGCTTGCCGGCTGCGACGGCGACCCCCCCCCCGCGCGCGCTTGCTTTCGCGCCCGCCCCCGCGCGGCGGCGCGAAGCTCCGTCGCGCTCGCCGCGCCCCGCCCTGCAGGTGCTGTCGGTGGTCTCGACGCAGTACAAGACCATCCTGGCGGGGAGGGGGGGCGTCCTGGGGCGTTTCCCAGGTATCTGTCGGGTGTAGCCAGGACCCCAGGTAAGGGGACCTGGCTAGTGGTGGGGCCCCAGAGCCCCTAAATCGGCCAAATCGCTAAACGAGGTCTGCCGTAGCTGGTATTTTTTCCGGGTGACGGCAGTTCTGGTTAGTGGAACGGGGCGGGGGGGCGTCCCCCAGAACCCTCAGCCACGCGCAGAGAAGGGTGGGGGGAGGGGGGGGCTTCTTAGAAGCACCCCTGCTTCTTAGAAGGCGCGGGCCTCATCTATAGATGTAAGGCTAGCGCCTTCTAAGAAGCAGCCTCCCTTTAAGAAGCCCTGCCTGCTCCCTCCAACCCCCTTGTGCGCGCCGCCAGCACACGCCACCGCTAAACCCAGTTCTGCCAGGGTCGGATCATTCTTGGCGCTGTCCCCCGTGCGTCGCCTGGGCGGCACGGCCCCGACGGGCGTGCGTCGGCGACGGTGTCCTGGGCCCCATGGGGATCTTTGGCATCCTCGGCTCCACTGAGCCGCTTGGTCGCAGTCGACATCGCACGCATCGACGAAGAAACAAAGCACATAAACATAAGCCTTTGGCGCTCCGCGCGGATTTCTTGGATCCGCGCCTGGGTCCCCCAGCGGCGCCTCCGGCGTCGCCCCTGGCGCGCTCCGCGCGCGAGGGAGGGGTGTCCAGAGCGGATCCAAGAAAAAAACCGCGCGGAGCGCCAAAAGTTTATGTTCATGTGGTTGTTGGTTCTTTCTTCTAGTGGTCACAGGTGACATCATACGTAGCGATGATGAGCAAGCACAAGCAACTCCAGGCCCCCCAGACGGTGTCCGACTAGGTTTAAGTCGGGCCTGTCCCTCTACAGGAGGAACATTCAAAAATAGTTTAAAAATGGTCAGGTGACGATTTTCGACGATTTTTCAACATTTTTGATTATTTGTTTGACAATTTGTTATTTTTCGTCCAGAATCTGCCTGTAGGGGGACACGCCCGACAAAAATCATGGCTAAGTCGGGTTCGTTTTTTTCGGGAATGCGAACCCCAGTTACCCTGGGCCCGAGTTACCCCGGATGATTCGGGCGTCCCCAGAGCCCTGAATCATCAGGGGCTCCTCGGGTCAGGGCGAAGTCGGGATCGTTGTTCGGGAATCCAAACCTGAGTTACCCTGGGCCCGAGTTGCCCGGATAACTCGGGTGCTCAAATATGCATCCAGACATGCGACGTCCTGACTTTTGTCAGCACGCGGTCCCCCGAAGTCCCGACCCTTTCTCCCCGGGACCGGCTCTCTCCTGCCGAGGCGCTCTTCTCGGCCCCCGGGGCCCGGCGAGGCGAGGGCGGCCTGCAGTCGGTGGTTCCAAGGTGGGGTCCTGAGGGATGGGGTCCTGAGGACGAGGTGCCCATCCCTTGGGACCCCTTTCTATCTTCCCTCGGATCCCTGTTAATTCTGAGGTCCCCATCCCCGAGGACGTATACATCCTCCCTCGGATCCCTGAGGACGTATATCCTCCCTTGGACGCCTTTCTAGCTTTGGGCCCCCATCCCTCAGGACCCCAGCCAAGGGCCCTCGATCCCGAGGCCGAGAACAGAGAAACACACACCTCCCGGGCATCCGTGTCCACCGCCTGCCGAGGTCCCCGCAGCGCTCGACCCCTCGGGCGGTGGCCATGGACAGGACCTCGCCTCGCAGGCGAAGCAGGTCCCCGGGGCCCGCGGCGGCGGCGGTGGCGGCGGCGGCGGCTGGTCGGCGGAGGGGGGGGGGGCCGGGGGGCGGGCGCCTCTCTACCGGGCTCTCGCGGGTGGGTCAGGCGATCGCAAGCATGGCTCAAGGGGGCGTGGATTCGCGACGGGTCCCGTTTCCGTGGGAAATTCGCGGATTTGCGCTGCCGAGAGGCGACACTGGCCGCATTTTGGGGAGGGGAGGTGCCAAATCCGTGGGTCATGTTTGCGCGCCCCCGAGTGGGAGGGGGGCGCGGGCGTTGCGTAATAGTGGGGGGGGGGGCGATAAGCCCAGACCCCCTCGTGTCATGAGAAAATCACGACGGGAGGTCTTTTGCGATTTTCGGCCTCCAGGGGCCTCACCGGCACTCGGGGCCGTCAAAAAATGACTCGGGATGCAAAGCCGGTCCTGGGGAATGGGTCGGGAACTTTTGGGGGGGTCGGCGTCGTGGAAAAATCATGACGCTGGGGATCTGGGCAGAATCTGGGAGTGGGGGGGGGAGGAGGAGTGCACCTCTTGTGCCCCCCAGGGGCCCCTAAAGGGTCCCCCCCCCTAGGATCCAAAAGGGCACGAGAGGTGCACGCTTCTCCGCACACCAAGTATCGCCAACCACTTGGCAAAGCCCAAGGGGCGGGCGCGGCAGGACGCCATCCGCGCCGGCGCCAAGAGCTTCCTGTTCATGGAGGAGGACATCCGCCTCGTCAGGACCCCTGGGATGGGGGAGCCTTGCAGAGCCTCCGATCGTAACAAGGAAAAGCAACTCCAGGCCTCCCACATGGGCGACGGACAAAAAACGAGTTCGTCGTTGCCAACATTGACGAGTAAGCTGCCCGCGTAAGCTCGCGCGTAAGCGCCCTCGCTTCCAATGTGGCATGCCGCGCTGGCAGCCCGCGTAAGCCGCCGCGTAAGGTCTCTATGTCATCTCGCGCAAGGCCCGTTTCTTTTCGTCGCCCATTTTGGGGCCTGAGTACAGGGTGTCCGAGTCGGAGGATCGCGCCGCATCGCCGATGCATCGGCGTTGCAGGGAACAGAAGATATGCATAGATTTCGTCGCCCTACCTCGGAAAGCCGTCAGAAATCCCCGACTTCGTGACGACGACGGCTCGATGTTCCCCCCACCCCTGAGCTGGTCACCCCAAACATGTCTCCCTTCACGTTAGCCAGGACGGTCGGAGCCTTCATCACCATGAACCCCGGGTACGCGGGCCGCACCGAGCTGCCCGAGAACCTCAAGGCCAGCTTACCGCCGCCCGTCTGGGCTGTGGCCGACCTGCCCACCTCGTCGCCCCTCGCCCCCGTGTTGTTGTTGTTGTTGTTGTTGATGTTGTTGTTGTTGTCGTTGGTGTTGGTGCAGATGTTTGTGTGGTTGCTGCTGTTGTAGTAAGTGTTCTAATTGATGTTGTTGTTGCTGTTGTTGCTGTGGCTGTGTTTTTGTTGTTGCTCGCGTTTGTGCTGTCGTTGTTGCTGTTGTTGGTTATGATTTTGATGTTGCTGCTACTGCTGTTGTCGTTGTTGCTGTTGTTGATGTTGTTAGTGCTGTTGTTGTGGTTGTTGTTGTGGTTGCTGTTTGTTGTTGTTAATGTTGTTGTTGTGGTTGTTGTTGTGGTTGTTGTTGTTGGTAGTTCTATGGTTGTTGTTGTCGTTGGTGTTGGTGCTGGTGTTGGTGTTGTTGCTGTTGTTGCTGTTGTCGCTGTTGTTGCAATAAGTGTTCTAAGTGTTGTGGTTGGAGTTGCTGTTGTGGTTGGTGTTGGTGTTGTTGCTGATGTTTGTGGTGTCGTTGTTGCTGGTGTTGTTGTTGTTGTGGTTGTGGCTGTTGCTGTTGTTGCTGTTGTCGTTGGTGCTGGTGTTGGTGCTGGTGTTGTTGTTGCTGTTGTTGTAGTAGTAAGTGTTACAATGTTTGTTGCTGTTGGTGATATTGTTGGTGTTGTGGTTGGTGTTTCTGTTGTCGCGGGTGTTTGTGCTGCTGTCGTTGTTGTCATTGTTGTTTGTGTTGTAGTTGTTGCTGTTGTTGCTGTTGTTGTTGTTTTTATTGTTGTTGTTGTTTTGGTTGTTGTTGTTGTTGTTGTGGGTGTTGTTGTTGTGGTTGTTGTAGTTGATGTTGGAATTGATGATGCTGCTGTTGTTGATGTTGTTGTAATAGTAAGTGTTATGCTTGTGCTTATTATTGTGGATGGTGTTGGTGGTGCTGCCGGTGTTTGTGGTGGCGTGGTCGTTGGTGGTGTTGGTGGTGTTGGTGTTGTTGGGGTTGTTGTTGCTGTTGCTGGAAGTGTTGTTGTTATGGTTGATGATGTTGTTGTGCTTGTTGGTGCTGTTGTCGTTGCTGTTTTTGCTTTTGTTGCTGTTGTTGCTGCTTTTGGTGCTGGTGTTGGTGCTGTTGTTGTTGCTGCTGATGTTGTTGTTGGATTCTCATTCGTGAAGAATGATTGTTGTTGATCCCCCTTTGGTGGCCACTGTGCTTTTTCAATTGAAGTGCTTCCCCCAGGGCTCGCACCCTGTTTTTTTTATCAGGGGAAGTCACGGGGGTCAAACTGTGCTGCCCTTCGTGGCCTCGTTGCAGCCCTTCGTGACCCCGTTGCAGCCCTTCGTGGCCCCCTCGCTGCCCTTCGTGGCCCCCTCGCTGCCCTTCGTGGCCCCGTTCCTTCGTGGTCCCCTCGCCGCCCTTCGTGGTCCCGTTACAGATCGCGCTATCGCTCGAGACTTCCTCGCGATTCATGCAGGACGTGCGCTTCAGCAACCCGTTTGCTCGACCTGGCCGCCTGGACCTGCCTTCCTGACACGCCCGTTAGGGCCCATCCGCCCGATTTGCCCGTCTGGTTCTGCCTTTTTTTTGCTCCTAGCCCCCCTTCTGCTACTCTATCTCGGAGTGCTCCATCATCCTCGTTTCACCTTGTCCCTTTCTTCCATCCGCCCTCTCTTCCCCCGCCTCAGGGGCTGCGCGAAGTACACGTTGCAAGTAAGGAAGATCACCCCCAAGGGGGTACGATCGAAGAAGAAGAGGGCGGGTATCGAGGGTTTGGGATACACGTGTTGACTGGGACGCGGGCAGATAAGAGCGTTCAGTCTTAAAGTGATTGTTGCCATTGTTGTTTTTGCTGTTGAGTTCTCATTTCTATAGGATAATTGTTGTTGATCCCCCCTCCCGGGCATCATTGCATTTTTCAATTACTGTGCTTCTCCCAGGGCGCGCACCCGGTTTTTACAAGGGAGAGCGAGGTGTCACCAAACTGGCCCCTTGCCACGGGTTTACAGAAACAGCGGCTCCCGCCTGCTATTTCCTCGCAGTTTGTTCCCAAATCACGCCCTCGCACGGGACCCCTCACACTTTATATAGGAGTCGCGCTCTCGCGTGGAACTTCCTCGCAATTTATTCAGACGCTGCGCCTTCCACACTCAGAAATCACGCTCTTGCTGTGGCCCATCTCACGATTTATTTGAGAATCGCGCCATCGCTGGAGACTTCTTCGCGGTTCATGCAGGGCGCACGCTTCAGCAACCCGCCCGCTCGGCCTGGCCGCGTGGGCCCGCCTTCCCGACCCGCCCGTTAGGGCCTATCCGCCCGATCTGCCCTTCTGGTTCTGCCACATGTTTTCTGCTCCTAACCCCCGCCTGCTATTTTTCCCGTGCTCCATCCTACTGCCTCCCCCTTGTCAATTTCTTCATCCGTCCTCTCTTCCCAACCGTAGGGGCTGCACGAAATACACGTTGCAAGTACGAAAGATACATACCCCCAAGGGGGTACGATCGAAGACGAAGAGGGCAGGTATCGACGGTGCTTGAATGGAACGCGAGCAGATACGAGCGAACAGTCTCAACATCATGTTTGTTGCTGTTGTTGTAGTTGTTGTTGGTGTTGTTGGTGGTTCTCTTGTTGTTGTGCTTGTCGTACTTGTTGTTGTTGTTGTTGTTGTCGTTGCTGGTGCTGGTGTAATTGTTGCTACGGTCGTTGTTGTTGTCGTTATCGTTGTTGCTTTGTTGTTGTTGTTGTTGAACATTATTTCTTCTAAAGAATAATTATTGTTGGGACCCCTGGTGCACGGCCCCCTCGCCGCGCCTAGGCCGCAGCCATGTTTTCATCATTTTCGAGCGAAAGCCCTTGGCAAAACGATGTGATCCAGATCTGGTTGTTTTGTTACGGGCGGTTTTCCCTTGCAAAAAATAAGGCAAAGTGGACATTTCTTGTTCTAACATAACCAAACTTCAAGAATCCCTTGCAAAAAATAAGGTAAAGTGGACATTCGCGCGCGCAAGACGAAATCCTTCCAAAACCTTAGTGTTCGTAGCGATTTTAACATAAAACATCAAAAAAACAATGGTTTTTCAAAAAAAGTGTCAAAATTTCATCCCGCGCGCTCTTGCGGATTTGTAGGAAACCCAACACTTTTTAAACATTTCTGTCAAACGGGCTTTTGCGAGCAACTTTTTCACGTGCTTCGAACTTCTCCAACAACGGTTGCGCACCTGCCAGGGCCATCATCCCTGTCAAATAATACCATGCGGGACACATTCGTTTTTTCTTCGCGCGCGCACGCCGAAATCTTCAAAAACCATTGGGTTTCTTAGGAATTTTAGCACCGCGCAACATAAAATCATACGAATCGCACCGTAGGTCCTCGAAAAACATCTGTACGAATTTTCAAAATTTCTACCCGCGCGCGCTGTCCGAATCCTAAAAAACCAATGGTTTTTCAACATTTATGTTACATGACCAGTGTAGTAGCCACGGTCGTCCGCAGGCCACGAAGTGAAGTGTCCGAACGTCATAGGGCGGGAAGCTGGGTGTGGGTGGTGGCGAAGAGTCGTTTGGAAATGTGGTAGAGCTTGAACCGGCCCCCCCACAAAGTGGGGGTATTGGCGGGCGTCGTATGAAAACCCTGGCACTGGTGAGAACGGAGTGTCCCCACGTGCTAGTAATTGTTGTTGTTGTTGTTGTTGTTGTTGTTATTGTTGTTGTAGTTGTTGTTGTTGTTGTTGTTGTTGTTGTTGTTGTTGTTGTTGTTTGTGTTTTTGTTGTTGTTGTTGTTGCTGCTGCTGTTGTTGTTGTTGTTGTTGTTGTTGTTGTTGTTGTTGTTGTTTTTATTGTTTTGTGGTTGTTGTTGTGGGTGGTGTTGTTGCTATGGTGTTTTTTGTTGGTGTTGTTGTTGCTGTTGTTGTTGCTGTTGTTGCTGCTGCTGCTGCTGCTTGCTTGTTGTTGTTGTTGTTGTTGTTGTTGAACATTATTAATTCTAAAGAATAATTATTGTTGGGCCCCCTGGTGCGCGCCCCCCCTGCGCGCCTAGGCCGCAGCTACATTTTCATCATTTTCGTGAGGAAGCCTCAGGTAAAACGATGTGATCCAGATCCGGTTGTTTTGTTGTAATCCGTTTTCCCTTGCAAAAAACACTATAAAATGACATTTCTTGTTCTAATATAATCAAATTTCAAGAATCCCTTGCAAAAAATAAGGTAAAGTGGACATTCGCGCGCGCAAGACGAAATCCTTCCAAAAGCTTAGTGTTCGGAGCGATTTTAACATAAAAACATCAAAAAACCAATGGTTTTTCAACAAAAAAATGTCAAAATCTCATCCCGCGCGCTCTTGCGGATTCGTAGGAAACCCAACACTTTTTAAACATTTCTGTCAAACGGGCTTTTGCGAGCAACTTTTTCGAACTTCTGCGACAACGGTTGCGCACCTGCCAGGGCCATCATCCCTGTCAAATAATACCATGCGGGACACATTCGTTTTTTCTTCGCGCGCGCACGCCGAAATCTCCAAAAACCATTGGGTTCTGTGGGTGTGTACCCCACGCCAGTGTAGTAGCCACGGTCGTCCGCACGCCACGAAGTGAAGTGTCCCAACGTCATAGGGCGGGAAGCTGGGTTTGGGTGGTCGCGAAGAGTCGTTTGGATATTTGGTAGAGCTTGTAATGCCCCCCCACGAAGTGGGGGTATTGCCTGGTGTCGTATGAAAACCCTGGCACTGGGGAGAACACCACGCGTTCGGGTAAAATGATTGTTGTTGTTGTTGTTGTTGTTGAATGTTAATTACTGAACAATTATGATTGTTGGATTCCCCCAGGCGCCCTGGCGCTCTCGCCTCGGCGCCGGGTACACTTTCATTGAAAATGAGGCTCACGCTCGAGCGGTTTGGGGGGGCGCCAAAACGCCCCCCCTAACAACAACAACGCTCCCGCTCGAGACCTGCTCGTTTTTTACTCAGAGCCGGTGTCTTACTCGCCGGCGAAAACCGCCGCC